GCACCGAGAACCCTGATCAGCCTCGACCAGTAATGTCAAGGGGTTGTTTGGGTCTGCAGAGCACCGACGTTGCCAGCGAAACTAAGATTTATAGTATACTACCAGATATATTTACCAATAAATCTAGCTGGAACCTTTCACAATAACCAGTGATTTTTCTTAATCACACAAACACCTTTAAACAATTTCGTTCTATTGAAAATTCAGGGAGCAGCGAGCTTACATGTAAATCTTCTGATACATGAGGCATCAAATTGCCACCTTCAAATTCTCTCTTCGATTGAAGCATTTTATTTACAAGACCGCCTGTGAAACAAGAAGAGGATTTAAACGGATAACTGTGTGATTAGATGAAGAAAATTAATCAGAAGCTTTTCATACATAAATTAGATAAAGCGTGACATCCAAATAAAAATTTAGAAAAATAACGACCTTCTATCCGAATGGTCAACCAATTATTCAACCACAAAAAGTCAGCATCACGAATTGATATTCATTTATAGTAAACCAGTAGTTGGAGTAAAATATTGACATATATATCCTACGGGTCTAGCATCGGGCGATGTTCTAACTCAAGTTTAAAAGCTGGAAACAATATGTAAGTGATAAACATGGAGAAACGGTGGGAATAACAGAGTCTGAGTGCCGCTATGGAATGCCATTTTGATTTTTTCTATCTGTTTTTAGAATGGAAAGGAACAAAAAGCACGGAATAGCTTTGCTGGTGAGTTCAGGTAAGAGCCTTGTCTTTCAGGGTTTGCTAACAGAGCCGTTCAGGACTCATCGCGCTTCATCTTGTAATTCGCTACGATGCGAGACGAGAGTGATCCTCCTCGTTCCACTTCCCCATGACTTGACTTCAGCTCTACAAGTCTTGTGTTATACACTTCTGGAACATATAATCGTCGCACAGCATTAAACACTGAACAGATTTTCAACGTGTCTGAGATACTAGAAACGGTGTAGCCAGATAGTTTGGAGGGGAGGATTTCCAGGGCTTACCAATCGTTTGCCCATCTGATCATAACTGATTCACTCCGGGAATTTTCGTTCATTTTCGATCGTTGTGGGAAAACGCCAGTCACATTCTTTTGCGCCATCCAAACACACTGCTCACAAATTTGAGTGGCACCACACAGCACGAGTACAAATGCACCACTAAATTGTTTTGAAGGCCAAAGAAAAGCAAAACTGTTTGCGTCTAAGTAAGTCATGGAAGTGTGGTCTTGACAAGCACCATGAGTTCCTATCGTCGTGCATTTATGGCTTCGTAAGATTAATTAATCCGCCGACACGGAGCTGTTACCAATTTTCGTGTATATCAGTAGATACTTATAACGTAGCACGCCTGTTTTTCTTCAGTAATTAGCATTTTTATCATATTCAAAGAGAAACATGTAAGCATGGGTTTTAAATGAATCGCCTCGAAAGACAGTGTTGTATCAAGCTAACAGAAAGACAGCACTACAGTGGTTCCTATTACAAATGGATTAAGAAGAGAGCTCATATTAATATGAATATTATAATGTTACTAACACAACGATGTCGATAAATAATTGTATTCCCGACGTTTCGGTTACCGTGTGTAACCTTTCTCAAGGCAGGTTTTACATTCACAATAAAACACAATATATGGCGCATCGATTTTTCGATATACTCCTAGCATCACTTATTCCTGATATCTTATATATATATATATATATACATATACACATACATATATACATATATATATTATAGTATTTAAAAATTATCAAGTTCTTTCGGTTCAGCGTATTTATTCTTTGCGGTGAGAGATAGCTGATGTCTGAATATTTTTTGCCGCTGTTTGTAAACTGGTGCTTTTGATCAGCGCTGCGATAAAGAAACTACTTGTTCGAAGCTCATCGCCGCGTGCGTCTAACATCCCTGCAATCGTATGATCTGAGGCATTATCTGATCAACTGCAGCTGTATTTGTGAGGATTGTTTGTGCCATTGTATTTGTAGTGAAAAAATGGTAAAATATTATTATAGTGAATACCATAAGGTCCGTGGTTCGATCCGCAGTTGGGTCGATGGATTCGCACTGCTGATGAGACCCAACCAGATCGAAATAGTTGTCCAGTGCTTCTTAGCTTTTCGGTTCACGCTTCATTTGACACATACATGATGAATTTCCCCTTGAATATAGATATATTTATATATACTATTGGGTTGTTTAACCGCCCAATTTTTGTTCACTTCTCGTATCACATACGCTGTTCTCCCAAGAATGTCTCAATCTCTATTTTCAGACCATGAAAAAGGAAAGCAATTATAAGGCACATCTTCAAACGGTGATTGTTAAATGTCCGAAATGTTCTACTTGCCATGCTCCTGAGACGGTTGATCTGGTAACTCAGTCGATTTTGTTCGCATCAAACCGGTATCTCCGCTGACCGTCTCCTCAATCACAAATTGCGCATCGTCATCATCATCCGATTCCTGTTGCGCTTCAGTGATGATTAAACCGACAGTTCGTTGGCCGGCTGAACCGGACGTTCTGTGCATTGAGGGGGAGGAGGTGTAGACAGGAGCGAACAAATAAGTACTGACATTGTTCGGGAAATAATGAGTAAAGCAGTCTTTTCGGGAAGTAGAATCATTGAACTTAGAGACGAAAAATAATTGACCGATAGACTGAATCTTTTCTTTCTTGTTTGGTATTCCGACTGCCGTTCTCGATACTAAATGACGCTTTAAGATACTCGGCAATTTACTTGAATATCGAAATAGACACCACTAAGGCATCGGCTAAACTTCATCGTAAATTTTATTTCTCTTATATTATACTCTGTTTTCTTGATTACGCCATTGTTAAATTCGGGCTCAAAACTGTGTGCTCTTAATTGAATAGACAGGATGCGAAATGATAGTTATGAAGCAAAGTAGTCTGTTTTTCTTCACTAGCAACTGCTGGTAAACAAGTAAGATACGTATTCTATTTCATGTTCATTCGGATAAAGTTGTACGATAGGAACCAATCTAAATGACGTGACAATTCAAAGGTTTGCATTTGATGAATGTTTTTGTAAATAAAAAAACGGTTGATCTGTATCACAGTGCAGCAAAAGAGGCTAAAAAGCTATAGACCATCAACCTTTTTTCTCTGGTGTTACCCTTTTCACCAGCGACCCCAGTTAACTCTGTGTTCGACCTGAAGCTTGTTCACATTGTGCTTATAACTCGTGCTCCCTATCTTTCTGCCTACAATAGATTCCGCTTTCACAAGTTCTCACACATAAATGTTTCTCTTAGCAATGGATCTCCGAGGAAGGTTTTTCATGTGTTCGGTGAAATATCATGTATGGTTATTGCTGCCTTGTTGAAAGTCTCCGTGTTCAAGGGAACCCCTCCAGTAATCCAATAGCTACAGTGACAAAAGGAACTTGTATCCAAGTCTCATGATACTTCAGCTTTCAGGCATGGTCGAAGCTGAAATAAACAGACTAGACGCATTAATTTAAAATCGAATTCTTAGGACTGGGCACAGCGAACACCTCTGGCAAGGCATCAGGCGTCTCTACGAAAGGAAGAAAGTAGGGTCAGTATAGGATGTTGTATTCCATTTTGAATCGTCAGTCATTTTTGCTGCCTACATAATATTTGTGATCTGCAGCCGATCTCAAATTCTAGTGTAGTTGAACATTTCAACTGCAATCCTTTCTCTGCTACAGACGTGAGTGGTAAAACTCAGATATTATTCAAAGTCTCAGTTGCTTCCTTACGTGTAAAAATCGCCTCCTTTGTAAATGAATCACTTTACAATTCCATTATTTCATACTCTTGCAGGCCGGTCGAAATCATACCGGTCATAAAAACATCCAAATCTTCTGTTCTTTGCAAACATTTTCATCCCATATTTTTGATATGTTCTGCTCTTAATTTGACCAAAAAGACACCAGACGTTTCTGAACATTCTGAATG